CCAGTCATAGGTGTCAGATGTCCTGAGACCAGTTCTCTTAATGAGCATCCAGACCTTGGTGTTGAGCCTGAGTCACCCTCCCATGGTGACTTCCTCTGTGGGGCTTTTGATGACCTTGCCTACAGCAGACTTCAGTTGGGGACATCAGTACATTATGTTCCTTTTGAACTTCTAATGGGAAGGATTGAGGGGGTTTCTCCTTTTCCTCCAGTAGGCTCCGTGGCTCAGATGCAGAATTGGCCAGTGAGTTTTGAATTCTCGGGAAGGCAATCCTTGGTCAGAACCTAGAAGATACTTCTTTTTCCAAGGTGCCTCCTTCCCTGATCCTTGCATAATTAAGGGAGGGCCACGCCAGAACCCTCCCTTGTTAACTAACAGGTATCTCCAGTGGCCTCTAACACTTGGGAAGGTCCCCCTCACAAGGATCCTGCTGCACTGGGTAAAGATTACTGGGTAGTTGATCAGCTCTGCAATTTAGAAAGATGATGATATGGTATTGTAATGGACTGAATGTTAATGTATCCCAAAACTCCTGTTGAAATCCTAGTCCTGAGGAGATGGTACTAGGAGGTGGGGACTTTGTAGGTGATTAGCTCATGAATGAGATCCTTATACAAGAGGCCTCAGACAGCTGCCTTACCCCTTCTACCCTGTGAGGACACAGAGAAAAGGCTGCTGTGAAAGAACCAGAAAGCAGCCCTCATCACACACCAAACCTGCTGGCTCCTTGATCCTGAACTCCCCAGCCTCTAGAACTGTAAGAAATAGATTTCTGTTTACAAGCCACCCAGTCTTCCACATTTTGTTACAGCAGCTCAAACTGACTGGTTATAAAGATGGGACTGGTGATAACGTCCTGAAACAGGGTAGGCGCTGGGACTGTGATGAAGAGACAGATTTGCTGTTTTAAACAAAGCAAAAACTTGTTATGCAGGTAAAATTGGCAGGATTTGGTGATCTCTTAAATATGGGTCAAAGCCAGAGCTTGTCTAACTTGGTAGACAGTAAAGACTTGAAGGCATGGAGTAGGAGACACAGTGTGTACGGGATGAGGTAATTAATTACTTTTTGGACACACTACTGTATCTGGAGTCCTGTTGGAGATGTCTAGCTGGCATTGATTATACTGGTATGCTGAAAACCCAGGTGATAGTTGAAGTTGGGAAAGCACTGAAATAAGAGAAAGTTTAGAATGAGAAAGGTAGACGACTGGAATGAATCCTAGGGAGCAGCAGTATTTAAGGAGCTTGGGAAAAAGAGGAATCCTGGGATACCAGGAGGCTGAGAGTGAGTGGACTGTAGAGGTAAGAGAGTGGAAGTGGTAGAGAGTGGTTTCAAATGAGCCAAGGGGCAGAGGGCTGCAGGGAGGTAGGAGGTGCCAAATACTGTAGCTAAGAGGCTGGCACCTGAAGTGGACATACAGTCGAGGCTCCTAATTGCAAATCATGGAAAATGACTCTGGCCAATTTAAGTGTATAAGGAAATCATTGGAAGGGTGTGGGGGAAGTTACAGAATCTACAGGAAGTGTAGAGAGCCACTCCCAGAAAACTGACCATAGATGAGGGAAGCAGGTCAGTCAGAACCACAGCCACAACCAAGACCACACAGTCTGGCTGAGGTTGCCCAGTGGCCGCTGCTACAGCCACCACTGCCACAGTTCTGGCTGTTGCTGACATTGGCAAAATGATTTCCAAATTGCCCATTTCTTGTCACACTCTTTTTGGTCTGAGCCCTGGGCAGAAGCTTGGGCTTCTGTGATTGGGCAGGTTTACAGCAGGAGGGTGCAGGGAGAACCAGGGCTTGGCTCTTTTGCTTCTGTGGTGGCAAGTAGTACAACAATATCGGCCATGTGATCCACCTTTCACGGTGCTCTTGGTGGCCTTAGCAGAAGCAGGGGAATAGCAGTTGGGAGAATAAATGGAGAATAGGAAGTGGGAGTGCCAGGTAGAGTATCCCCAAGGCCAGCAGGCAGACCCAGAGCTTGCTTAATCTAAGAGTGTGTCCCTGGGTGCTTCCTGTTGCAACTACTAAGACCTCCTTGAGTCTGGCTGTGGTACTCCCAAGATTGGAAAACCAATTAGCCTGCTGGTTTCTTTCAGTAATAACCAGAATTGTGCATATGTCTGGAATGAGTTTAAGAGTGGTTACATTTATCAAGGATTGGGGATTGGCAGTGGATCTAGTGGAAGGGTAAAAGGTAAGACAGCCATTGAAAAAAGGTACATCTTGTTGCTGATCTGGGAGGGATGCAAAGTCTTGAGGGTGCAGAGAGATCAGGAAAAGAGGCAAACTTAAAACTCAGGTGCAGATGGGGGCAAGAAAGCAGAACAGGTAGATTGTTGCAGTTTATGGCCAGAGAAGAACTTTAGGATTATAGAATTTGGAAGAGTGCCTTGTCAGCTTTTCAGGACTGCAATGAGGTACCCTCAAAGAGTTTATGCGTGAGGGAAATTAATTCCATCCTTACGATTACAGACAGTAAAATCCACACTTAAAAACCAGTACAGTCTCTCCTTCTTGGAAGAAAATGGCTGGCTGCCTGTGCACTAAGACAGAGACAAGGAAAGAATGTGCCATCTTGGGGGATGTCAGCTGAAAGAAAGGATTGGCCCAGAGGTGAGACAGAACTGTAGCACAGCCTTGGGAGGTCAGGTTCGTTGGAGAGCCTGTGCTGACAGTGAAGATTCAGGTGGTGGTAGCAGCGAGCCTGAGGCTGGGGTCCCGATGCCTTTAAACCATTATTTGAGCCCCTGTCCTTTGATTTGATCATGTGCTCACATGACAATTTTCTAATTCTAAACAGACTCCTCACTTGGGAGATAGTGATCATGTTAATTTCTAGGAATCTCTTACTTGTGATAAGTTTATATTTGTCTCTATGAATTGATCAATTAGCGTTGAGAGAACGCAGTACACTATATGCCCAAAGACTCAAATTTGTTTGGTAGATGTTATTTCTAATTGTTAATTTATACATGGGCACACTGGTTAGATACATACATTTCTTCAGTGTGCTTAATGTGTTACCTGAGAGGTGGGTCTGTTCCTGGCATGTAAACTAATCCTGGAGATGAGCACCACTGGGTGAGGCTTACTGGGAGACACCCTTGCCTCACCACCCTGTGGAGACGGAGACACCTGTCTTCATGTCACCTGAGCTGTGAGCAGGCAGGTTCTGCCTTCCTTCAGAGCTCTTTGGAGTCTTCATGCTCACTCTTGTTTCCTTTGCTCAGGAGGCTCTTCTCTTAGTCCCTACTCTTCCTCTGGCCACCTCCTACTCCTCCAGGTCCCTTTTCCCTTTTCTCTCTTGTAGAATTTATCAGTGTTTTGAAATTATATGTTTGAGTGTTAAGTGCTGTGTTCCCTACTAAACAGAAAGCGTGAGGAGGGCAGAAGCCCTGTGCCCATGCCCACTCAGGCATCATCTGATTGCAGACAGTTGTCTGGAGAGAGCAGGCAGGCAGTAGTGTTTGATGAAGTCTAAGGCATGGGTTGGTACAGATGAGAGGGGGAAAGGCCTGGGTAACTCAGGGAGCCATGGGACTGGGATGACTGGGGGAAAAGTAAAGGCACAGTGGGAAGCCTGTGAGAGCAGCTCTGTGTGAAGCCACAAAATCACTGATTTCAAGATGAAAGTGGCATTATTAGGCTGGGCGCGATGGCTCACGCCTGTAATCCAAGCGCTTTGGAGGCCAAGGCGGGCAGATCACCTGAGGTCGGGAGTTCAAGACCAGCCTGACCAACAACATGGTGAAACCCTGTCTTTAAAAAAAATAATAAATAAAATAAAAGTGGCATTATTGACTTTTTTTCCTGAGATTGTAAAAGTACAGGCTCCTAAAAAATTACAGAAAATTACAAAAAAGAAAGTAAACACTACCTATAATTCTGTTATCAACCTTTGGTTTGTGTAATATTTTTCAATACAGAATTTTATGTACTTAGGGTATTGTACCCATTTTTTCCTGAGATTGTAAAAATACAGGCTCCTAAAAAATTATAGAAAATTACAAAAAAGATGCCGGGCGCGGTGGCTCAAGCCTGTAATCCCAGCACATTGGGAGGCTGAGGCGGGTGGATCACGAGGTCAAGAGATCGAGACCATCCTGGTCAACATGGTGAAACCCCGTCTCTACTAAAAAATACAAAAAATTAGCTGGGCATGGTGGTGCGTGCCTGTAATCTCAGCTACTCAGGAGGCTGAGGCAGGAGAATTGCCTGAACCCAGGAGGCGGAGGTTGCGGTGAGCCGAGATCGCGCCATTGCACTCCAGCCTGGGTAACATGAGTGAAACTCCGTCTCCAAAAAAAAAAAAAAAAAAATTACAAAAAAGAAAATAAACACTACCTATAATTCTGTTATCAACCTTTGGTTTGTGTAATTTTTTTCAAAATACAGAGTTTTATGTACTTAGGGTGTTGTACCCATTTTTTTCATTCACTATTATGTTGTAGACTTCCTTTCATGTCAGTAAAGGTTTACGTTGTCATTAAATGGCTGCATTGTATTCTGTTACATGAAACTTGCTGTGTCTAGTATTGTGGATGCTTAGGTCTCTTACGGTTTTTCACCATGTTTACCCTACTGTGATGATTATTCTTCATGATGCATTTCAGTCCCTTAAGACACAGAATTTTAAGTTTGGTGGCCAGTAGAGTAAGTAGAATGAGAATTAGAATTCCAAGTTTTAATTTTTGACTAGTTTTGTCTCTTTGGGATTTGTATTGGTTATTCCATACAGCTCAAGTTCCCTTTTCTCCCCAGTAGAACGGGAATAGGTATTTTAACTTGAGGTGCTGAGACTCTGCTTTATAGAGATATTCCTTGTAAGTTTCCAGCTGAAGCACCGATGTTAGTAGTTAATATAATCAGAACAATAATAGCAACAATAATAACAGCTACATGCTTCACTTTCCATTTGGACTGAGTTTGTAATTCTCACAGCCACCCTTGAGATAGGTTCTTTTTTTAATATTTTATTTTTTATTTTTATTTATTTATTTTTGAGATGGAGTCTCACTCTGTCGCCCAGGCTGGAGTGCAGCAGCACAATCTTGGGCTCATTGTAACCTTTGCCTTTTGGGATCAAGAGATTGTCCTACCTTAGCCTCCTTAGTAGCTGGGATTACAGGTGTGCTTTACCAACCTGGTTGACTTTGTATTTTTAGCAGAGACAGGGTTTCACCATGTTGGCTAGGCTGGTCTGGAACTCCTGACCTCAGGTGTGAGCCACCAAGCCAGGCTGAGATAATCCTTTGATTTTTTTTTTTTTTTTTTTTGACAGAGTCTCTGTCACCCAGGCTGGAGTGCAGCGGCATGCTGTCTGCTCACTGCAAACTCTGCCTCCCAGGTTCAAGTAACTCTCCTGCCTCAGCTTCCCAAGTAGCTGGGATTACAGGCACCTGCCACCATGCCCAGCTAATTTTTGTATTTTAAGTAGAGACAGGGTTTCACCATGTTGGCCAGGCTGCTCTTGAACTCCTGACCTCAGGTGATCCACCCATCTTGGCCTCCCAAAGTGCTGGGATTACAGGCATGAGCTACCTGCCCAGCCCTGAGAAAGTTCTATAAACCCTACTTGCCCATGGGAAACTGAGGCTTAAGCAGATCGGATAACTTGCACAGGTTTGTAAGGGTGGAGTGGAGTGGTGGACCCACTGTTGCTTGTTCCTGGAGTCTGCCATAGCAAGCACGCTTTCTTCATTCCGTATGTCTCATAGGAAGATGAGCACACTTGATAGTAGCGAGGTATAATTTCTTTATAAGGTTAAAGAGACTGTGTTTTTAAACTAGAAACAAATGTTTTGTCTTTATTTAGACATACATAAAATTAGGTGTAATTCCTTTTCTTTCTTGGGCTATAGAGGAGTAGCAGATGAAGAGAAGCAAGTAAGGGGACGCTGGCATTCTGGCCAACTTTGATAAAGACATGGTTCCTCTTTAGGTCGTCTACACTTTATTTGGCTAATTCAGGTTTTACCTTCTGTTCCACTGTTTTATTCTGTTTCTAGACAGCTGTTAAACATCTGTTCCCTGTGCTCAGAGAGCGTGTGGTTGTTTTCCTGCGTCTACACAGTGGCTCTCTGTATCCTGGTCGTATGTGCCCTAGGAGCCTTCAGAATGAAGGGGCTTGGATAGCGATTTCACAATGCTTTATGTTTTTCTTGTGACTGCATCCTCAATAACTCACTAATTACCAATAAAAATGTCTGACAAAATTAGATATTTTTTCCTACCAGAGGGATAAAGGAAAAGAAGATAAGATTAAGTGGAAGGAAGAAATCTATTGAAAAAAAGGAAAGATTTTACATTCTTAAAAACACAGCTGTGTTCTTGAGTGTGAGGGAATCCTTTTGTGGATCTGGTCTGTGGGAGGGGTTGGTAGAAAGTGTGGGAGGACCCTCCTCAGAGCAGGAGGCAGCCCGGATTTCCAGAAGTGAAATGTTAAAGTTGAGCATGGTTTGGATGCAGATAAGAAGTTCTTTTGCTTCCTCTACTTGGGTTAAAATTGTTCATTTTTTATTTTTAAGGTCATTTAGGGGGAATTTCTTTGCTTCCAGCCTGGATCTCTCAGTGTGGCCTGACCCCTGAATCCTACCCGCCCACACAACTTGAGAACTTCTTTTCTCACAAAGACTTCTTTCCAACTCCTCCCCTCCCCTCAGAAGACTCCATATTTGGAACTATTTTGAACAGAGCCCTGGCCAGAGGGCATATTACATATGTTCTTCTGTCCCATGTACGTGGAAAAGTATAAGCTTTAAAGCAAATGTATATAAAAAATGGAAAATGTTCTTCTAAGCCAGGGACACACGATTTTCTTTTATGAATGTGCTGTACTTATGTGATTCAGTCTCTTTAACTTGCCTCTTTGAAACTGGAAAAAAGGTGACCAGAATGGCTAGAGGTAGTGAAAGGGAATAGAGAATCAAGAAAATAATTTCTTTGACCATTCTTTTGTAAGCCTGGGTTGCTAGAGTTAAATACTTAAATAAGAACATAAAATAAGGGAAATCTTCCCATTTCCACTTTCATTATTAACAAACACTTTTTAAATAGGAGAACCTGAATCAGCGCGAACCCCAGCAATTATCTGGTTGTTGCTGAAATCTAGCCCACCTACCATATTTTCATAATTAAACATTGGCCTGAGGCAAACATCAGAGATTCTTATTCTCCAGAAAGTGAACCCTTGTATATATCCTGGTTCAGCCAAGGTCCAGTAAGGTTACGTGTCCACATTCACTGTGGAATTCTCTGCTTCGGAAACCATCATGTTCAGGAACATTTTCAATAAAGTTTATGAGATATTGTATTGGCTTGGAACATACACAAAGAATTTGACAACCTGTTTGGGTAGAGGAGTATAAACTTGCTAATTATTGAAAACATAGCTGTTGTAAATGCTTCCCTTTGGTTTGCTACTTTGGGCCCCAACCAGAGGTTTTCCAGCCTTGGCAAAGTTGCAGAAAACCTTTTGTGTTGAGTAAGGGCCTAATAGTGGCATCCTCGTTTTGATCCTGTCTCTATGTAGTGGGAACGCCTCCAAGTCTGATGCTTGTTGTAGGTTTCTGCCAGAGGTCCTTCACTTAGGTTACGACATCTTCTATTCTTAGTTAATTGATTTTTTTTTTTTTAAATCAGGAAGGGCTGTTGAATTTTATCAAATGCTATTTTCCATCTCTTGAGATGAACATATGTTTTTCATTATGAGCCTTTCAGTACTATTTGACTTTTTTTTTTTTTTTTTTTTTTTTGGGGAGGGGTTTTCACTCTTATTACCCAGGCTGGAGTGCAATGGCGCGATCTCGGCTCACCGCAACCTCCGCCTCCTGGGTTCAGGCAATTCTCCTGCCTCAGCCTCCTGAGTAGCTGGGATTACAGGCACGCACCACCATGCCCAGCTAATTTTTTGTATTTTTAGTAGAGACGGGGTTTCACCATGTTGACCAGGATGGTCTCGATCTCTTGACCTCGTGATCCACCCGCCTCAGCCTCCCAAAGTGCTGGGATTACAGGCTTGAGCCACCGCGCCCGGCCACTATTTGACTTTTTTAAAAGAAACCATTTGCATGCATTGTATCCACTGACTTGAGGCTTAAAATTCCTTCAAAATGCTAATTTTACAACCATCTTCTGCATGTGTTTTTCTTTGAATTCAACTTTTCCATCAATCTGTTCCTATCTGCTTTCTTTTTTTTTTTATAGTGATTTCAGCATTTCTCAGCTGTTGGTGATTTTTTATTCTTTAAAAAGCCTCTTCTGTCATTTCATGGGTTTAACGAGAGAGAGAGAGAGAGAGAGAGAGAGAGAGAGAGAGAGAGAGAGAGAGAGCGCGCGCGAGCGCGAGCGCTCGTGCACACCATGTGCCAGCCTTTTCCTCTTAAACCAGTCTCTAGGGCTTTAAAAATGCGATCCTTCTTTGCTCAGGTTCTGCTACATAGGAACCTTCAAGTTCTTACAACCTTTGAGATGTTGTGTTGCTTTACTTTGAGATGCTGACTGAGAATCAGAGTTGGGAATACAAAACCTCACAACACGGGTTGAAATTTTGGGAAGCAACTGAACTAAAAAGTTCATCAGGGCATTAGCCATGACTGGAAGTATCCTCACTGGGGCTTTAGCCCAGACTGCCAGCTTCACCGTCTTTCCTGGACTGTGAGATAAAAACCAGATGGATTCCACTCCACTTTGCCTGCCGTGCCCTGAAATCGTGCTCTCCCACCTCCCCACCGTCATCTAAACATTAAATTCCTCAAGTGTTCCACCTTTTGGATGTTTGTGAATGAGAAATGGAATGCCAGATGTTCTACAGCTGTATCCAATCTGTGGAAGACAGAGTCCTGGCAAGGAATGAGGAAGTAACTCCAGTGCTTGCTTGCTTTTTTTTTTTTTTTTTTTAAATCTTGGAAGTAACATGTCAACTTTCTAATCGAAGCATTGCAGGAAATATTGTTTGTGGGTATGGGTGTGTGATAAGTATGGGAGGATGTCCAGATCTTTATGGAGACCTCTCAGAGCCTTCCAGTTTTAAAAGGAAGCCAATCACACATGCATTGCTTTTTATTTTTTATTTTTATTTTTTAAAAAGCACCTTCTTTAAGGTAGGGTTTGCCAAGCTAGTGACATGGGTTTATGTTCTGGGCCACCTAGGGATGAATGTTTCAGATTGAGTTTTCTTTGTTTAAAGACAAAATCTTTTTTTTTTTTTTTAATTTTAAATTTTCAGGTTGGGCGTGTGGTGGCTCATGCCTGTAAATCGCAGCACTTTAGGAGGCTGAGGCAGTGGATCCCTGAGGTCATTATTGTGTTCAATAATGATAGATTAATAATTGGTTAATAATTTATTTTGAAATTGCAACCATCACCTGACCTAATTTTAGAACATTTCATCACCCCTAACAGATCCTTCATTCCTGTCTGCATCAGTCCTTAACACCAACCCCAGACACTGGCTACTCTGGTTTCTGCCTCTATAGATTTGCCCTTTCTGATATTTAACAGAATCATGCAGTATGTGGTCTTTTGCATCTGACTTCTTTTACTTCACATAATATTTTCAAGTTTCATATATGTTGTAACATATCTGTAGTTGTTTCTTCTTCTTCTTTTTTTTGAGACAGTCTCACTCTGTCACCAGGTGCCAGGCTGGAGTGCAGTGGCGCGATCTCGGTTCACTGCAACCTCCGCCTCCCGGGTTCAAGCAATTCTCCTGCCTCAGCCTCCCAAGTAGCTGGAACTACAGGCACGTGCCATCACGCCCAGCTAATTTTTCGTATTTTTTAATAGAGACGAGGTTTCACCATGTTGGCCTGAATGGTCTCGATCTCTTGACCTCGTGATCCGCCCGCCTCGGCCTCCCAAAGTGCCGTAGTTATTCTTCTTACCTGAATATCCCAGTGTAAGGAAATACTGCAAGTTGTTATCCATTTATCCATCGATGGACATTTGGGGTTGTTTCCACCTTTTGGCTATCGTAAGTCATGCTGCTGTGAACATTCGTGTACACGTTTGTTTGGATACCTGTTTTCAGCTCTTTGGATATATACCTATAAGTAGAATTTCCGAGTTACATA